GAAAAGGCCCAAACTACCTATGGGCCCGGGGGGCTACCCCTATGACCCTTGCCTGCTCACTAGGGAACAAGGCCTCCCCTTGCTGACTGGTCAGCAGGACCACCGAATGCATCTGTATAACCCATTAATGCTGAAGTAGTCGACAACTCCAACATTCTCCCACTTGGCGAATACTTCACACAATGAACGCCTACCTTATTAACACACCATGTAAACTTTGCTAAGCTCACAACCTTGGTAAGAAAATCTGCAACATTAACAAGTGTATCAACCTTCTCTAACAACACCAATTTTTCCTCCACCTTTTGCCTGATGAAATAGTATTGTATGCCAATGTGTTTTGATCGCAAATGAAAGGCAGGATTCTTGGCTAAGTAAATAGCCCCTTGATTGTCACACCCTATCTTCACAGCATCAACCTTGAAACCAAGCTCTAAACTCAATCTTTGAAGCCACATAGCTTCCTTGCTAGCATGTGTCAATGCCATGTATTTTGCCTCAGTCGATGACAAAGCCACAGTACTTTTCCTTTTATTCATCCAACAAATAGCAGCTCCAAATAGAGTTAATACATACCCACTTGTAGAATGCCTACTATTGAGCCAATCAGCATCCACAAAACCTATCACACCTAGCTCATCCCCAGTCACCATGCCCTCTTTATAGCATTCCAATGCTCCTTGCCAGGATTTGACATAAAACGACTTAAAACTCTCATTGCTTGTGTAATATCAGGTCTCGTGCACACCATGGCATACATCAAAATACCTACAACACCAGCATACAACACATGTGTCATTTCTTCAACATCTTCCTTAGACTTAGGGCATTGATCAGTAGACAATTTCACTCCCAAAGTCATAGGATTCTTCACCGGTTTGCAGTTTGCCATGTTGAATTTCTTCAACACCTCCTTAATGTACTTTCTTTGCTCTAACCACAATTTACAACTCTGACGATCTCTTGTAATTTGAATACCCAAAATCAAATTTGCAGCTCCAAGATCCTTCATGTCAAATTGTGCAGCCAACAAACCCTTCACAAAGTTTATTAACTCATTGCTATTCCCTATCAACAACATATCATCTACATATAAGGTTAAAATAACAAAGACATTTTCTAACCTTTTTACATACACACAGTGATCCACGTTGCTGTGGCTAAAACCATGCTAAAGAACATAAGAGTCAAACTTCTAGTACGACATCCTTGGTGATTGTTTAAGCCCATACAAAGACTTCCTCAACCTACACACCAAGTCTTCCTTCCCTTTACATACAAACCCCTCAGGTTGCCTTATGTAAATTTCCTCCTCTAAATCTCCATGTAAGAATGCCGTCTTTACATCAAGTTGCTCAATTTCAAGATTATACGCAGCAGCAATAGATAGAACATACCTGATTGATGTTAACTTGGCCACAGGAGAGAAAGTCTCACCATAATCAATACCCTCAATCTGCGAGAATCCCTTTGCAACGAGCCTCGCCTTATATTTTGCAATTGTTCCATCTGCTTGCAGCTTTCTTTTGAACACCCACTTGCAACCAATTGCCTTTCTATCCTTAGGCAATTTACATAAAGCCCATGTATTATTCTTGTACAGCGAATGCATTTCTTCATTCATTGCAAGCTCCCATAGATTTGCATCTTCCATGGCTCTTGCTTCATTTACATTTCTAGGTTCATCACCTGTCACATTCAAAGCATGCAATCCATTCAGGGCACTTAGAGAGAAACGAACTGGTGCCCTTCTAACTCTTGTAGATCTTCTCAAAGTTGGTGACACCACAACTTCATCATCAAAATCTTCCTTTGAGCCATCCACATAACCCTCATCAACCACAATATCAAATTTATCTTCATGATCAGATTATGTAGGCTTTACATTATCAGTCTCTGCAGCAACATTAGGAGTCACCTCCTTCTCTTGCTCTATTGTAGTCACATCAAACTGAACTTTCTTTGACTGTTCAAGATCTTTAGGAGCTCTCATAGGTTGTTTTACCTCTCTAAAAATAACATCCCTATTGTAGATGATACTTCTACTCACAGGATTCCACAACTTGTACCTCTTGATGCCATTTGAACCTCACAAACTTGCATTTCTCAGATTTACTATCAAGCTTGCTTCTTTTCTCCTTTGGCACATGCACATATGCATCACAACCAAAAACCCGAATAAAGAATAGATAAGGCTTCTTACCATAAAAAGCTTCATACGACGTCATGTCTTCAACAGAAGAGGTAGGAGACCGATTCTTCAAATAACAAGCCATTGCAGTAGCTTCAACCCAAAATTCAGACCCCAAATCTGTCTTATTCAACATACACCTAGCTTTCTCTAGCAGTGACCAATTGAGATGTTCAACCACTCCATTCTACTGGGGTGTGTAAGGTGTAGTTTTTTGCCTTGCAATTTCGTGTGTTGCACAAAACTGCCTGAACTTACAAAAGCAAAACTCACTGCCATTATCAGTTCGCAAAGCTTTAATTTTCCTGTCAAACTGATTCTCAACTAAAGCTTTAAATTCCCGAAATTTCAAGCTTCAGACTTGTTGCGCATGAAATAAACCCAACAGTATCTAGAAAAATCATCAATGAAAGATATGTAATACCTGGATTTACCAACAGATTCCATTGGAGTGGGCCCAAAAATGTCAGTCACTATGAATTAACTCTATAATTTTTGTTGCTCTTATGCATGTCGACTGAAAACTGACCTGATTCTGCTTGCCTTGTAAACATTCCTCATAAAACCCAAAACTCATGGAACAATTAGGAATACCTTCAGCCATTTTCTGAGTTACTAAAGTAGACAAAGTCGTCTCCCCAGTGTGCCTCATTCATTGATGCCACAATGTTGCAAAATCAATTTCTTTTTCAGGCTCCTTTTTCGAAACATAACCACCCAAAGAGGAATTTCTTACAACTGATGCCCGCAGCCTGTAAAGTGTTCCATGTTGCACTCCTCATGCAATAACCATATATCCTCGAGTTATCTTGTAGGATGTTCTGTCACAACTAAATACTATACCTGCGTCAGCCATTGTTCCAACAGAGAGTAGAAATCTACTCATACCAGGGATGTGCATCACTTCAGGGAGCGTCCTCACTGAACCATCATGCAACCTCAACCTGATTTTCCCACCGGCTAATAATCTTCACAGTAGTATCATCTCCTAACAAAATGTTTCCTCCATTGTATGTCTCATACTCACAAAACCATTCCTTGTGAGATGTCATATGGAATGACGCACTAGTATCAACATACCAGACTGATTGGTCTGATCCAGCCATACACGCAGTAGCCACATACATATCACCATCTGATTCTCGTTTTACGAGGTTTCAACTTCCTTCCCCTTTATCGGTTTGTTTCTGCAATCTTTCTTGAAACGCCCAAATTCCTAACATCTCCAGCATTTAATCTTACCTTTATCCTTGCTCTTAGATCTACCTTGCGACTTTCCCCTGTCGCCAGACTTATTAGAATTCCTATCAAGGTTTCGTCCCCTAGCAGTTAGAGCATCCCTAGACGAACCCTCTGAACCTCTTCGCCGCATATCCTCTGCTAACAATGTAGAACATATAGATTCCCATAACATCTGTGTCGATCCTCCACCACCAAATCGCAACAATCAGGTTGTCTCACGTATCAGGCAGCGAGCATAACAATGTTACCACTTTCTCAGCTTCAGTGAGTTGTACATCCACAGCCAACAGTTGATTCACCAAAGTAATAAACTATCCAGGTGTGCAGCAAAAGAATCCCCATCATGCATATAGAGATTGTAGAGTTTCTTGCGACGGAACAACATGTTCACCAAAGACTTGCTCAAATACATATTTTCCAGCTTCTGCCATAAACCCTTAACCGTATCCTGATCCATCACATTTGTTAAAACGGAGTCCTCAAGACATATGCGAATCAAACCTTTGGCTTTCTGATCCATCTTGTCCTATTCAGCAAGTGCGGCATGATCAGTCGCTGATAATTCTCCTCTAGATGTCGTTGCAAGTTTAGACCCAGGCGTACTTGACGCTGCAGTTCCAGACGTTTCACTCGTCGTAATAGTGACTGTCCTGACTGTCGACCTATCATTCACAATTGCACCCCATAGATTCCTATCAACGAGAAGATCCTTAATCCGTAGTTTCAAAAGCTCGAAGCGTTTGCCGTCGAACTTCTCAATCTCAACCTTTGATCCTGCCATCTCTAAATCACAATCTAACAAAACCTGAAAGCTCTGATACTAATTGAACGAAATAGAGACAACAGCGAGAACAAAATAACAATAAAGCAAATCACAGACAGTAAACACAAAGAAAATAACACGCGCGATTTACCCTTGTTCACCCAATATGGACTACGTCTAGCCGAGTCAATATTATTGTAATATTTTCTCACCTCTCTTGTTTACAGTGAATGAATTGCCCTATGATTACTATCACATTTATAACAAGAGAAAAATATGTTTATATACTAGGTTTAAGTGACAAAACCTAGTTTTACAAGTATTCATATTCCTAAGCCCAACCCAATGAGAAATTAATAACTTAAAGAAATCCTTTAGCGGGACCCTCGAATGCGTCTGCGTAACCCATTAATGCTGAAGTAGTCGATAAGTCCAACATTGTTTAAACCAGTCAGGCCAGACCGGGTTTTAAAATAGTGCTTATTTGGTCATTTTGGGCTTGTAAGGAGTTCAATAGACTTTCGGGATTAATTGAGGGGTGCATAAGTTAGCTTAGACATCCTAGTTACCCAAAACAAACAAAAAGAAGTCAAGTGTAAATCGCATACAAAATTAACTTACTTTAGTAGAATTCTTATGACCATTAGGTTTAACTAGTTAAAGTTGCTAACTTCCATAATTTGGACGAAGATTTGACACATTGTATTTGTGAAGTGTTCAGGTCTATCTGAAAAAGAGAAATTTACACAAAGGAGTTTTTAAATACTAAATAAGGTAGTGCGATTTATGCATGCGAATTGGAATGTGAGCCCAAATGTTTACTTTACTGAAAATACCCCCTCACCATAGTAAGCGTCTCTCTCTTCACTCACCCTTCACCACCACCCTTACACCGTCACCGTCACCACCGGCAGCCGAACCAACCGCCATAGTCAGCCTCATCCTCACTTCGACTAACCCACAAACCCTAACCCAAACCCTCCACTCCCCTACTCTCCCCTGGACTCCAGAGCTTGTCGACCAAATTATCAAACGCCTCTGGAACCATGCCTATAAGGCTCTCCACTTCTTCACCGTCCTCTCCTATCACCCAACCTACTCTCACTCTCTCTCCTCCTTTGACCACGCCGTTGACCTCGCAGCTCGCCTGCGCGACTACAAAACTGTATGGACCCTCGTGCACCGGATGAAATCCCTCCGCCTGGGCCCCACCCCAAAGACATTTGCAATCATTGCTGAAAGGTACGCCTCTGCTGGGAAAGCTGATAGAGCAGTAAAGCTTTTTCTGTCAATGCATGAACATGGTTGTGGTCAAAGTTTGACTTCTTTTAATACCATTCTTGATGTGTTGTGTAAAGAAAAGAAAGTTGAGAAAGCTTACAACTTGTTTAAGATTTTTAGGGGTAAATTTAAGGCTGATGTTGTTAGTTATAATGTAATTGCAAATGGGTGGTGTTTGGTTAAGATGACTGGAAAGGCTTTGGAGATTTTGACGGAAATGGTTGATAGAGGATTAGAACCCAATTTGACGACTTATAATATAATGCTTAAAGGGTATTTTAGAGCTGGTCAAATTGAAGAAGGTTGGAGGTTCTTTTTGGAGATGAAGAAGAGGAAATGTGAAATGGATGTTGTTACTTACACCACTGTGGTTCATGGGTTTGGTGTTGTGGGTGAAATTAAGCGAGCTCGAAAGGTTTTTGATGGGATGATTAAGGAGGCTGTGCTCCCATCAGTTGCAACTTATAATGCTCTGATTCAAGTTTTGTGTAAAAAGGATTCTGTTGAGAATGCTGTAGTGCTTTTTGAGGAGATGGTGAGGAAGGGTTATGTGCCCAATTTGACGACTTATAATGTGGTGATTAGAGGGTTGTGTCATGCAGGTGAAATGGAAAGAGCTATGGAATTTATGGGAAGAATGAAGGATGATGAGTGTGAGCCAAATGTACAGACGTACAATATTATGATTAGGTACTTTTGTGATGCGGGAGATGTTGAGAAGGGTTTAGATTTGTTTGAGAAGATGGGTACTGGAGATTGCTTGCCAAATTTAGATACATACAATATTTTGATAAGTGCAATGTTTGTGAGGAAGAAATCTGATGATTTGTTGGTTGCTGGGAAGTTGTTGATTGAGATGGTTGATAGAGGATTCATGCCTAGGAAGTTCACTTTGAACCGGATTTTGAATGGGCTTCTACTAACAGGTAATCAAGGTTTAGCTAAAGAGATTTTGAGACTGCAGAGCAGATGTGGCCGTTTTCCTCGTCAATTCAAATTGTGAAGACCGTTTGCATTCAGATTTGTTGATGACCCTGGACTATTTCTGACTCTTTGACATTCAGAGGACGGCTTGCTCCTTTTCCCTATGGATGCATCATGCATCATATGATTGAATGAGGAATTCAATGGGCACTGGACTTGGGGTTTCTTCTGCTTCCTTTTCTAGCAGTCCAAAGACTAAGACTGTTATCATGTGTGCTGTATTGAGGTATTGACGGTCTTTAGACCCCATATTGGAGGATTCATACCTCTATCAGTCTTTGACGGAAAACAGAGTACCATTCTCTATATGGGGGCAATCAAATATTGGAAGCATTAATGGTATGGCTGTGATCAGTTTTGAGGTTTGTTTGCTTCCTTTTATTCTGATGTCATATACTGGGTGCTATAATTATCTTCAATTTGAAAATCGATATGTTAGGTGCAAAGATTAAGAGGATTATTCTACCCTACATGTCAAACCTTTTGCGAGTTGTTTCTGTCCATTATGGTGTATATAACTTAGTTAAGTTGATAACCTTATTGTACAAAAGTTAATTTCATCTTTCACTAGTTCTGCCAAAAAAAAAAAAAAAAAGGTAAAATGCTTAATCAATCTAAATTTTGACCTACTGGAGGGAGAATTGTTCAACATATTAAATCTTCAGCCACTGAGTCCTCAGTTGTAGATTTTTGTAGATTTGGGTATCAGCATCATTGAAGATATCAGAACTGATTGTAGTGCATCAGATGTGGTTGGTGACGCTCCAGTAATGGTGTACGCCCAGATCCCTGTGGTGGTGCTTGTTGGGTATGTAATATTAAGCTGGTCATATTCATGAAATATCCTTTACAGAGAAGATTGTTGTTAATCATCCTGAGGAGCAACAGGATGTACTTGTCATTTTGAGAACAGTGATACTCTTCATTATGCAATTCCCCTTTCAACATGATTCTTTCCTTACGAATTACACAGGTCCTTATATTCATGTTTTACTTCCCTATTCATTTTCATTTGGAAGTCTTCCAGTTTTAACAGTGGTAGAATAGCCAAATCGTTAAAATTTTATTCTCATCTAGAAAGCGTCAATTTACAAATGGGTAATAAACTAATTGAAATAAATAGTGGTTTCCCTACTTGAAAACCAGTAAGAGCAATTATTACAACCATAAGGAGAAAGAGCCCAATGGTGCGCATACATAGATGCGAGATGTGTTTCATCTCTATTAAAGAATGATTTCCTCTAGAACACTGACATTGAGTGTCTTGTTTGGAAGGACAATGCTGTTGGTCACCACCACTTCATCTTCAACAGACACAGCTTCACCTGGATCATAATTTTTTACAATGCAGATTATGTAGGGTTAATGTAAAGAGCAATACTATACTTATAACTCAATCTTACAAACTTCTCACAACCGACGTAGAAGTTCGCAATTAGGTTTTGTCTGCTCGTTATAAATCTCGTTTGTTCAATTGCAAACTGATTAATTGTAAACTGTTATATCAAGGTTGTAAGAGAAAGTTTGATAGATTGAGTTGTGGGCCAATGTTTATTATAATGTAAATTTATCCCAATAGTGTTAAAAAAGAAAGAAAAGAGCGAGGAGGGAGAAGGCATTAAGAAGATACCAAGGATTGTAATCCCGAGTTTAGCATTGTAATCTCCTTGAGCCTGTAAGTTACTTTGTCAGATGCAGAATATAAAGAAAGAATAAAAACACAAAGACTGCAAGGATTTGTACCATAAGCAAATATTAACCAGTACAGTTTGTGACATAAATAAAAGAAAAGATCGTTTATGTCATCAGTAATGCACCGACAATAGACAGTCCAGAAGCATTTCTGAATGAAGCTAAAAGTAAATTCACTGAAGTAACTGATACTTAAAAACTTACCTGGACACGGGACCATCGCCCGATTGAAGATTTCCACCCGACAATTGCATTCGTGACGACTGCATTTTCCTGATAAACGGATATACATGTCCCAAGTTAGAAGTTTTGACTTTCTTTAAATTCTATACAATTTTTTATTTGTTTACATACCATGATTTCAACTCCGTCTAGGATGATACAACTTATGAGCCTAACTCCTGCTCCTATACGAGCATTAGCAGATATTGAGACATTGGGACCAATCTGTTTCCATCATTGCACAAAAGTCAAATATATTCCAAACTTGGAAGTAGAAAAATTATGAAGGAAAACAATGCGAACTATGGGAACATTGGTTCTCTAGTCCATATGCTCACTTCAGCGCAGTTAATTAATAATAATTTGGAAACAAGACAAGAAAAAAGAGCAAAAAATGGATCCCACAGAAGAAAAGCGGGGATGGGTGAAGCAGAAATACAGCACAGTTTCATAGCCAAGATATCATTGCCATGTAACATTAAGACACTTGGAATTTGACTTCTTTAAGAATTCTAAGTCATGCAACTTTCTTCCAGACCATCCAACAATGCTTTACTGGAAGTAATGAAAAGAATACCTTAGCTGTTTGATGTACTTTTGCTGATGGATGAACATACACATCACCGATAATGGTGGCATTTTTGGTACCATCTCCACTAGCCAAAACATGGGGAGAAGTGCGCCGGAATTGGGAAAGATACAAGCCAGAACATTTCAGTGACATTCTGCAGGTATTATCAAGAAAAAGAAAATCAGGTCCTACTTGAAGAGCTTTCAGTTCTGATTTTCATTTTGCCGGTTTCTTGATAATTTTGGTTTCTGGTTTGTCACTGTTCTTTGCTGGTTGGCAGAGAAGAGGAGCGAGGGGGGTGTTGTAGGTGTTTTGTAACGAACTAACATGCTCAATTGCTTAGCTTACCCAGGAGTTTTAATTTGTTCCCAGAAATCCATGGTCTCGTATGTATATAACTGCTTCTTTCCTGCAAGAGGTGACAGGATATCTTGGTCCAATCTAACAAAATCTGTTGGAAAGCTCCTGTTAAAGGACCTCATGTTAGGGCAAGTTGACATGAATTATATAATCTTTCAAATAAGAAACTTACAAAAGTGACATTATCTTCCCAAGTTTAGAATTAGCTTCTAAATAAAAACATTGGGTAAATCTCTTCACCAAGGAATGCCTAGTGCTTACTGTATTATCAAGATTTCAATTTCCAATGACACCCAGCCCTGCTCATGGAGGGTGTAAAACATATTATGTGTTTATTAATAGTTAATATATACCAAGTCATCTGTTAATGCTGTAGGTAACACCTGAAGAATCAGAAAACTAAACAGTGAAAATTTTGAGAACCAGAAAACAGATATACCTCGTAGCTGACTGAAGTGCTTCAAAGCTGGATACACGTCTCAGATTTTCTGCAAATGACGAAAAAAGAAATTGGTTTTGTAGATCAACGCCAGAAATAGAAAAATGAGACAAAAGATAATTTGTAACATACGAATACAAATGTCAATGTCTCGAAATTCTCAGATAGCAATAATTCAAATAAATGTGTCAAAAACTTGATTAAACTTAATTTTGATTTCTACTAAGGCCATGTGTTGTGCAGTCACATCGGTTAAAAGTATGTATTAAACTACATGAACTTTTTAACTTAATCAGTCTGGCGTCAAACTGACAGTTTAGTATCACCGACCTCTGTGTTTCAGTTGTGATGAAACACCCTGGATGGCAGTAAAGATATCTGATGTAAATACATACACACCACAATTTATGCGGTCACTTACCTACATTAAAACACAACTGTTAAGAACTTACAAACAAAAAATAAGTAACGACAAAAATAGAACGACAAGCAATAAACTATTTCAAAATTTCATGAACAGTTATGCAATAGAAAGTTTATTGACATGTTAAGAAGTAAAAGTTCTCTGATATTGTACATACAAAAGTTCAGGTTTCCTCTGTGTAATGCAACAATTCATTGGTAACTGGATCAGCAACTAATTCACCGAACTGGCTGGCTGACTCAGCAGAAACCTGCACATAAAATAAGAGTGACAACCAATATAGAGATGAGAAAATTTTGAAATAAAATTCATCTTACAATATCTTGTGCGTGTCTTCACTAACCCTGATGACTGTATAGTTCCCATGCCACCATATCTTTTGTGAGCATCTGAAAATATTAAGGAAACAAAAAAACAGCAATTACAGCTCTGTGAAAACTGAGAACACCATAAAACTTAAAATAGCAACTTATAATTTGATTGAAGTTGTTGCTTTACTTGGATCATTCATACATGACATTCAGGAAACCACTAATTGGTATAGATTCAACTATTCATAAAGGAAGGAGAAGAAAATCCACTCTAGGAGAAAAGAAGATAGTTACCAGCATTTCTGGCAGTGGAAAACGCAGCAAACATCGCAGTTCACAGGAAGAATGAGACGGTTGACAAAATAATTGCTAATCACATTCTAATAAAAAGAAAAACAACTATAATCTACTAAATATATTACACTTAAGCATGCAACAATGTTCTATATATTAGAGAAAAGGTACAAGGAATTTTTAAAGATTGAAATGTTTAGCAACAAACAGTATGCTACACCAAAATAATTAGGTTATGTAATAACCGGGCTATCTTCCATGATCAGATCTCTAAAGTTATAAAGCGCACCAGCTGAACCATGAGGCTTGTCTTCCCTCAAATATCTAACAACAACATTAAACCAAGAATTCACTGAAATTTAACCAAACACTTGAAAAACTGGAAATAGAAATAGACCAGAAGAACAGCAAGAAGTTTACCACAGGGACCTTAAGCTCATTGAGATTGAGGAAACATACAATGCAAATTCACCGCTCCTCATAGAATCCAACAAGATAGATCTGTGCAAGGTTTGGAATCTGTAACAGAAAAAGCAATCTCAAGCACTCTTCAAATAATAAACAGGGATTTACTTTTAAGTGAGGATCCAAGAATATACTCTTTTACAAGCAGAAATCGGATGATGGACCATTGGCTCTCCAGCTAAAGGAAAAAGAGGCTTAGGAATATTCAGTGACAGGGGCCGGAATCGGGTACCTGTAATTTTAAAAGTTTTCAACAAAATTCAATGAAAATTTTCGTTTCATATCCAATTACTTCAACACCAATCAAGCTTCATTATCAATCATATCTAAATTCAAACCAGATAACAAATGTTCCCAATATAGTGAAGATTGGTTAACACATCCAAAATTGAAAATGATCCCACAAATATTAAAACTGTAAATGAAATGAAATCAAACATCACAATTCAATTACCTTTCGTGGGACCGCCCACCATGATCACAGCAACGACTCTATCCTCTGAGGTTCCCATCTCCAAAATTCAACACAAACTCAGATCTTCAAATCAAAAACTCAGGTTAGATAATGAAACACACAATGTCAATTCATTCAAGAACCCAAATGAGCAAATATAAGTGACTCTGTGTAGCTCAGAAAGGGACCATTGACCTCACTAAAAAACAAATAAGCTCACAGTAAGGCCCAAAATTCCAAAAATATCGGTATTTTTACCATATATAAATAAATATAATTTCTGTGTGTGTTGTGAGTGGAGAGAAATAGATAAATATATATATATATATATAAAAGAGAAAGAAATAGAATGGGGTTATGGAC